GGCTTTTGTTTCCGCTCCAGTCTAAGTCTGAGAATGTCTGCAATCACCAATAGCTTTCTCCTTTCTTGGGATAACCGGCGCAACCTTCTCCTGCTTGTGGAAACTCAAGTGCTAGGCAATAGTCCATAGTCTTCTTCAAGTACCCCAAGAACTTCTTCAACTGGTGAAATCATATAGACAATAGCTGTAGGAAGTGGCATTCTTGAAGTCAATTCCTTCACTGAAAATGCTACATCATATCTCTCTTGACATAGGTAGATACCTGGTCCAACAATTGCTCACGCAAGAGTCCTGACTTGTCTTCCATCTAGATTGAGTTGTCTGCCGGTAGTTGTTGAAATTTGACCGCTCCAATCTGCTCTTGGTAGGCTTTCAACATCTGCTGGATGTAGTTGCCTGGTTGGGTCCATCGGCCAACTTCTATTTTGCATGTTCTCCTCAGGATATTGAATTCACCAATCCTCTCAGTTTTGCTCACACTGGTGTCAAATTTGCCTTGAACCTTTGGAAGAAAGATTTCATGGATATAATTTGAGCCCTTTATGAGATCAAGTCATCCACATGGGTCAAAAATGGTACTCTTCCCATTTCTTCCTAGCACTGAGTTCCTCTGTGAGGTGCTCTGTGAAAGAGTCAATCCACGCTTTTGCTCCAACCCTTTAACCAGGTAGGTTTCTCTTCACCCGGAATTCTTCTCCTCTCAAGTTCACTTTCAATGGCTTCTCTTGTGGAACTTGTTGGAATGCATCTTTCACACCAAGACAACCTAGCGCCTGTGAGAACGCACTGACCCTTTGCAAGAATATTGCGGGTAGAAGTTTCAGTACATGTCCTGAAGTCGCTGGTGAGAAAATGTCATCTCTCTTTCCTTCAGCGAAAGTAAATTCTCACGCAACTAGTCTTGATCTTCTCTTGGAATCTCCATTGCTTCTGGGAATCTTGCATCTGTAAGCACATAGGTGTCTTGCCCTTCAACTTTTTTGAAGAACAAGCGTAGACGCTATCTTGCCTTTTGTTTGTTGAGACTCTTGATGTAACCATGAACCGGTTCTCCATATTCTGCTAGAAGTCCTTTGTAATAACTCTTGCCATAGACAAGTTCATAGGCAGTTGCACCTTTGACTGGCAGAAATCTATTCAGTACCCAACTGGCATGTCTTGCTGCCAGTCCAGAGTGCATGGTCTGATCCTTCTTTCTTTCTCTGTTTTTGCTCTCAAGCATCTTGTATCCTGGCGCAAAGAACCCCATATCCTCTGGCGGTGCTGGCTCATAGCTGTAGATTGCGATTGAAGGACTGCTAAGAATTGCTCGTCAAGTTCCTCCTTTTCATCACGCTTTCACAATCTTCCGGCATTTGTGATTTACCTCCTCTTTTCACCCAAACAGCTCTCATCAGCTCTGGTGGTCCGTCCACTTCTGGAATGACTGTGGGATTCACTTGAAGTCAATAAGGTTCCAACTAGCAGTCCATGTTCATTGAATCGCTTGCACTTCCAAGCAGTGTTCGAATGACTCTAATGCGGCCTTGAACTGTCACAGACGATTTTGCAAGTTGAGTGGTACCTTCAAGTCACCATTCTCCAACATTTGCTCTCTGCTGCTGCCGATTCCCCACCCATGTTCCGTCAACCTTCCATAACAAAGTATGGGCTCATTCACCTTGGGACCAAAGATCACATTCTCTTTGAGAAGAACTTCTTGCCCATCAAGGTCACGCAAGGAAATTTCAACACGTTTCGCAATTTTTGTGGTGGCACGATTTCCTTTTGCATCCTGTAACTTCGTCTTTGCGCTGAATTGCAATTCTCCTTCCCCACGATCTGCTATACTCAAAGGGAACAATGCTACATCAGCTCCACTGTCAACATTCTCTTCCCCAAGTCTCCTCACCATGGGTTCATCATCTGAAACGTCAATCTCCTCAACTTCCTCGAAATCTGGCTCATCATCATGTCCAATCTAGAAGTGATTTCTCTGATTCCCTGATCTTCTAGCTTCTCTCAAGTCAAAAACGATTGGCTCGCTGTTCTCAATTCTCCTGCCAACTGGCTTGGTCTCTGCTGAGCTACTCTGTTGGCTCACATTGGCACGCTGTTGGCCAACTGTATGAGTTGTCCCTGATGCTCCTCCTGAAGATTGAAGATGGGCGTGATCACTTGCTACCTGTCGAATATTGTTTCTCAAGGTACCTTTGCCCCTGCGATCACCTTCTGTTCCTTTCTGATGTCCTTTTCCGTTCTTTCCTTTGCCCTTGGCATCCTTGCCTTTGCCTTTTTGATGGTCATTCTTGCCCTTCTTACCTTTTCCTTTGGCATCTTGGACTCGACCAAAGTCCGTCGTGTAGCCCTCATCTACTGCGCTCAAATACTTCTGAAAGACCGTGCGTATGGTAGCGGAGCTGCCCTCTGGAGCTCTGAGAATAAAAGCCCCTAGGTCACTGGGATCCGTGTGCGATTTCGAGCCATAGATTTGGGGCCTTTGGAACCCAAACAGCTGGACTGGTGAAGAATTGTCGTGAGCAACACTCTGTACCCAGTACATTGTGTCAAAGAGACATTAGTACAAGGAGAAGATGGGGGAGATCAGGGAAATCCTTCGGACTATAGCACAGAGCAGGCTGGCAACAACATCAGCAGCTGAGGCAGTGAAGAAAGCAGTTGAAGACACGAAGTCATCAACAACAGATGGGCCAAAATTGAAAGCAAAGCCCAACATCTTTGACTAGAAGTCACAGGATGAAGAGATCAAAGCATTTAGAGACAGACTGTCTGTCAAAAGGGCTGCGGTCATCTCACATGCACACTCATGACGCTTGTAACGCTATATACATGAGGTCTGATCTGTATGGAAATAGTTTGCAATATACAATGATTAACATATGTTGTGAAGCATTCATCGTACGCATGGCAAAGCATGTTGCGTTGTCGCGCAACAGGTGCTTGTATTTCCGCACACCGAGCAACACGATGCTGGGTCAGCAACAATGGTCGCATTTCTGATGCGTTTTCTGTCTCCGTCTCCAACGCAAAGCACTCCTGCTACGCACCCAGCTCCTGGCCCACAGTTCCTGCTCCCGTTCCAGCGCCATTTCCCCAGTTCCCTTTGGATTCGACAAATGGACTTGGAGTCGGCTTGGGAGACTTAGCAAGAGCAAAACGCACATAGTTGGCGTGTTTGAATCGTCCCAGTCAATTGGCCGACGCTGCCAAATTTGTCTCCCACATGAAACACCAGGTCCAATCACCCCATGCCCAGCACCTTCAAGTGTGATATCATTGCACGCGCAAGCCAAAACACTGGGCTGATTGAGAAGGCATGCCCTCAAGACCACTGCTGGAAAAACTGTACCAACCAACCAGTTAATTGCACAACAAAAGGCTGCAGAGCCTCTCTAACAGCAAATCAAAAGAACCTTCAACGATTCAGAATAATGATTCCTATCAGGGCACGCCAATGCCTAGGCGCAACAAAAAGCAACAAAAACACCGGAAAAAAACATACATCGCTTCGGGTCAGTCAAACAGATCAAGCAAATCACCCGAACGCCCAGCACAGATTTTCTGAGGTCCGGGCCCACAGGACTTGGCGCCAACCCTCACATTCTTCGCACTGGCTTCCAGTCCAAGTGGCACCTGTTCGCACACCGGCGTCTGCCCAGACCCCAGTAGTGATTGACATGAATTGAATCGGAGTTGAATCGAGTCAATGCGAGACATGCAAGCGATAACACGAACGAAAAGTTTCTCAAAGTTTGTGAGGAGATCAGGAAAATGCCCTGATGTTGTGGTGTGTTCTTATATCTCACATGTCTAGCGTGACGTATCACGCAATCAAAACAGCCAAATTAAAACAAAAAACGGCCTCTGATCTCTGTTAGTTCCGGATCGCCGTATTAGGGCTGGTTTCGCCAAGCGTGAACAACAACCACAACATCTTTCAAGGAAGGTCTATGTGTTCCTGCGTCAGCATCAGCTGTATTTGCTGAGAGTAGTTCCTGGCTCAAGTACTAGCGCTGCTGGCGAAGGATGTTTGGCCGTTGTAAAAGAATTGTTGCGGTTCCTTGCCGGCGGCTACCCAAACCAGTATATACTACCACAGTCAGCTCATACGCATGCCAGGGGAAGCAATCAGCAAGCTGCAAAATCCAATCGCGCCAGTCTTGATTTCGAACTTTCTGAACACCATTGTATACCCTTCGGTCTCTTGAAAGTTGCTTTCGAATAAAGCTGCAAAAAGGATCCTGTCGTGTGAAAGTCTGACAGCGCCATATGCAAATATGACTCCTACGCTACAAAGGCTGACAAATGATCTTATCTTCATAGGCGTCTCTGAGCAAAGTAAAATGCTGAAGGCTTTGTCTCAACCTAATGAAAAGGACGACTCATGGTAGATCACTAAGTGATGGATGAAGTTTCAGGTCGCTCTATATAAAGTTGACTGATCGGGTTGCCCAGGTAAAACCGCTCGTCATCTAAAGGTAAACACTCGAAAAACAAAAGCACCGGATCAAGCCCCGCGAGCAGCACGGGGGGAGGCCTGCACGGCATTGTGCGCAGGGCGTGTTCGTGAGCCCACCATTGCATGTGCCAGGCGTGCCACCAGGGCAGGCCGCAACACTGCTGCATCGGTATACCTGCCAAATCCCGTGTGAATCCACTGGAGTGAAGTTGTGCCAAAACATCATGTTGCGCCAAAACGCGCGTCCATGGAATCCTTTCCCTGCTTTAAACAGGGCCCAATACTGCTCAAATGTAAAAGGAGCTGGGAAAATATTGGGGAACCCAGGAAAATTTCGAGGCGCGCTGCATAAAAACAATCTGATCGCAATCTAATCATAAACAGCAGGGACAAAACTTCCGCGCACGGGGTCAAGGAGAGCACGCATCTCTTGAAAAAACAAAAGAACTGCGGCGAATTGAAGGAATGAAACGGTTCTTGTACGCTAGCCATGAAAATCAAAAGGGTTTCTTTGCCACAAGTCACACCAGTGAATACAAAAACAGGTTCGTCTTTCCATGGTCGCCTGACGCCTTTCCAAGAGCTGCGTGCGTAATTCTACGCGCGGCACATCTCGCATGTTCGCACTTAGGCAGCCTTGCGCGCTCGCACGCTCGTGGATCGCAAAGCGATGCGTCGGCGGTGTGTCGAATTTTCGCGCAACACGACTGATTGCAACAGTGCGCTGACTACTCGTCACAGCGCAACTCATCATACCCCCACCCCCAACCCCTCTGTTTCTCCTGCTCCCTACTCAACCCATGTCTGGTCTCACACCTCTATGTACATGACTGACGTATTTTGGATCAAGCTCACGGAAGACAACCGCTTGCTGCACCTTGCGCTCCCGGGTCAACTAGGCAGCCGAGCCTGCTCGCGATGTCCATGTCGCGCGCAACGACATGCAATGGACAGGCGCCCATCAATCAGCAATGGCAGCAATGCCCTCGTTCGCTGTTAGGTTGTCTCATGACAAGTCGATGACTTAGCATATGAGGGCCAAATCGCCGCCGATAATCGTCGATGGTCGAGTCAGTTGGTTTCATTACGCAGAAGCCGTCGATGAATGGTTGTCAATCACCAGCATCGATAAGGCTGAACGATACGGACCACTTCTCACGACCCCTGTCACAGGCGGAAGGAGATGGACCTAGTCAAACCCTTTTTTGAGGGAACCAGCAATGTTTTCCTCTACAGTACATGACAACATTGCCAACTATGAAAAATGCAGGCAACCAAAGAACTCCCGCAGTTTTTGCAAATTGGCAAGTGAAGGCGGCGGCCCCAAGCCGCTAATCAACAACCTCAGAGGCCCACCAGAATCCTAGTGGACTGAGCAAAAAGAGCACAGTCAGGAAATGCTGGAAAAGTGCAAAACAGTCCATTGCCCTGTTCTTCATCACCCACACTACACTTCTGATGGCCAACGTCAGCGACTAGTTAGTCAGAGCTACGGAATCCTCATTCACACGCACGACCTAGAAGTCAGATTCATCAGGGCGGGGTATTATCCCGAATATCTTGTTGGCTTGTGCCACATTAACTCTCACCTCTGCCGGGCGGAGGTATGAACAAGGCGGCGGCTTACCTTTCGCGCGTCCTTCGTGATTGCACGCGCACGCATATTGGTTATGTCACTGGCCACTGGCGACGGCAATCTCTCGGTCAATACAGAAAATGATCTTTGATCATCAGACTCATGGTCGGAATCAACCGCGGTTTGGTTTGAACCATATTCGTAATATTTGTTTGCTAAAATCAACCGATTCTATGGTTCAAATTATTTTGGCACACCTAAAGGTCACACTCCTTCGTCAACAGAGATGGCCTGGCACGAGCTCCATCGAACAACAAGGCCCAAGAGAGAGAATACAACAATCAGTCCGATCTGCTTTTTGCGGATCAGACAGTTCGGCTCGATCTTCGGCGTCGCTTTCCTGGATCAAATGGCCTTTTCGTCAAGACTGTGTCCAAAATCGATTGCTCGACGAAGCATCCGAGTGAAGCACCTGACGCCTTTCCACCAGGAAATTCCCCGCTCCTGGTCTTCCACCCTGCTTTGAACCAGTTTAGGGTCAGAGAGCACCCTGAAGGTTGCACTTGTCATTGTGTCACCCTTTCATAACTGCTCTCGAGACAGTGCTCTTTCCAAAAGAACTCCACTGCTTGCATTTCCGTGTCACCCCCCTCCCACCCCCAACACTCCCGCCCCCAAAGTAGCGTGGTGTACGAAGCTCTATGACTTCCTATCACAAATGCAATGTGATGCGGCCATCCACTGAGGAGAGCCTATGCTCGCGTGCACAAAGGACCTTGTTTCTTCGCTGATTCGCACTCTCGCACCTCGGTTGGCGCCAGCACTGTGCTGAAGTATCCTTCCTGGACCTTTGGGGTGTACTGCTGGCCGAGATAGCTTGCGCCGCTTTGCAAGTCAACCTAGCGTACGAGGGCGGGCAAAAGCAGTAGGTGTTCGCCGGTGTGAAGCCACACAACGTCAAGTTCACTCCAAAAAAGAAAGCTTTCTGCCGTGCAGCGAGCGTGGACTTCAGTGGACATGTCAAGCCTTCGCTGCACGGCACGCAATTGTAAGAGCCTGGCACTGGACATTCTGACCAAGTCAACGCTGCCTTTGGCCCAAAAGGACTTCACAAGTTACAGCTGAGTGAACAACAGCGCCTGAAACATCGATGTTGATGTTGTGTTCCTCGCAACCGCAATCCTTTTGGCTGACCGATCCTGGAGATCCGAGTCACTCGGATCCGAGTCACTCCAAGTCGAGACTGCCCGAGCGCTCGGGCTGGAGTCGCGAAAGAGGGACGGGACCTGGATCCATCATCAACCACTGAAACAGTGCAAAGAACTGAAACAGTGTGGTTTCCGGGGACCGTAGACGTTTTGGCCCTTTTTTTTTGGTCCGATTCCACTGTGGAGTCTAGTCCGCCTGAGTGGTGGGCGGACCAGGGTATCGGTATCCTCAATCACTCCAACCAGCTACGTCTCGCCATTTTTTCAACACCGCACGTCCACCAGTCAGCCCTGGTCGCCCTAGTCGCCCTGGTCGCCCTCCCAGGCTCCTAAACCCAGGGTCGTGGTGGAAGCAGGACAGCTCTTGCACACTTCAGCTCCCAGTTCGTCCTGACGAGAGCACTCAGACACTCACTGGGGTTGTACTGATGTACTGCGAGACAGCAAATCACACGTGCGGTGTCTTGTTATGCCATCGAGTTAAAAGGCAGCCACAAGCCAATGGGAAACACACCCAAATCAAACAATCAACCGCCGGAAAGCCAGCAAGACATCATGAAGGACCATGAGAGTTATTTTTGAGCTCCTGGTAGAGGCCAATCTCACAGCGCTTGCAAGTTTTGCTCCCAATCTCATCCTGATACTCGCCTGCATGAACGTATGTACACGTACTACTGGTATCCTTCCTGGTGTCCAATTCTCTGAATATGCTTGGCCTCACAACTACAGAAACACAACAACATCACCAATGCTTGACATGGCCGACTCCTACCGCGCTTAACTTCGCTCACGGCAAAAGAAAAAATGATCTGGAACCACACCCGCAGTTCCCCCTACCTACCTGATTTGCAAAGATTGCAATCTGTGGCCGCGCCAAGAGGTTGGCTTTTTCCTTTGGCACATGGCACACAAATGTAGGTCTCGCCAATGGAATCTTCCAAGAGCTGCGAGAAGGTACCCGAGGGGCAAGCCTCCCCAGCAAACTTCAAGGAATGCGAGGAACTTCACGTAGAATGTGAGGAACTTCGGGTCTTCATATATGAAATGATAGGGTCAGGTCTTGATACGTTTGCATGAAGAACATGCCCTACAATGTCAATACATTAATCACTTTATCAGCACTCCATCCCCTACTCTCTGCAAACAGTTCTGAACAAAGCAACTCCCACTCCCCGTCTCATGAAACACAGTGTGCACAGCCCGGACGGCACAGGCCTGACACACGATCTTGTTAGAGGTATTCGCCCGATGGTTGGTGAAATCATCCAGACCTGTGTCGTAAAGCCCAAAGCCCGGGAAGCATTGACTCTCATCAGGAATCCAGGATTGCCAGACATGTTGATTTGAATGAAGCCATCGGCATGTTGTCTGTCTCCAGCTATCAGTTGTATTTTTTTGGTCGAGGAGAATCGCGTTCATGTCCTCCAAGGTCATAAGAATCTTGCTCACAAAATTCTCCACATTGGGCGCCAAAATGCTCAAGTCTCTGCTGACGTGCTTGTCAACCGAAACGCCTACTGTTGCGGTCGACAAATCACCACTGCTGAAAAGTCTTTTGTCATGCGGTGGATAGACCACCTGAACTGGCTCCAACTCCAGAAAGGTGGGATCTGGGATCCACCAATAGAAGTGAGATTTTGGATGCAGAAAAGGAAACTCCGTGTAAGCGCTCCAGGATGCTGCCACACCGAGGGCCATGGGCATGTTCAATTTGGTCGATTTGTGCATCAGCTCTTCAATGCCCCAACCAACACCTCCAGTGATGAAGGGAACGCAAAGTGTAGAGTTTGATCGGCAAGAAGGTGAAAGCCACCAATGACCATCATCACAGCGGGCTGAATATGCATCAGAAGTGCTGTCGTGGACCAAGCCATCAACATCTCCTGTGAAGACGATGTGCCTCCTCATAGTTGCATCATCAGTCATCACAGACGTGGAGTCGCTGCAAAGTTTGGTCAACCCAGAGGGAATAGCTGAGATAGACTCAAAGTATTTGGAAGGCTGGTACCAAGAAGCATTCCAGTACTTGAAGTATTGCAAGGCGATTCCTTCCGCCTGCTCTGCTTCCCCTATCACGCGCTTTGGAACGAAGGTCGAGGTGACACCTTCATATCCCATGTTTCCCAAGTTCTTCGCTGCAACACCTGGGTATTCGTTCTGAAGCGTCTCCCACACCAAAGGGTAGCCATTTGTCCAAGCCTCCATCACAATGTGATGCTTGGTGGCCTCAAAGCATAAGTCACAAAGAAATCAAGGGAGGAGAGGCATCCTCACAGGCATCAACGTGAGTTGAAGTATGAGCAACTGCCCACTGGGCATCCATGAATGGTGCCAACTTAATCTGTTATGGGTCCTATAGGTAAAAACCCACACGGCAAAGTGTCCAACTGAAAATGGAGCCGCGATCTGAGAATTTTTTGGAATGAGTCGCCGAGGTCTGAGACAACAAAACCAAGGCCCACTGCGTAAATATGTATAGTCATACATATTTGTACTTATATCTATGTATTTATAAATGTATTTTTTTTCTGGAATGGTCATTCTGCATTTGCAGAGACAACTGACAGAAAGGCAAGGTTTGAAGGACCAACCTCTTTTGAAACAGTTTTAAACCTGGTCAGTTGCCGTATCTAGTCTAACCCACATGACCAACACTTCGGCCCAACGGCTATACCTCCATACTGGTTGCCAAAGCACGTTGCCTAAGCCACAGCCAGGATCGCCCACCGCGGTAGGATCCACGCAGCCGCTGACGGCATAGTAGCCACTCACTGTTCCAGTGCCCTTCACAATGCTCACGTTGTAGCCAAAGATCTCCTTCCGTGGGTCGTGTCACCCTCCACCAACTTATTTACTTACACTCAAATGGTTTCTAGTAGCGATGGCCTCGAGCCTACTAGCGATGGCCTCCAACCTACAAGAGATGGCCTCCAGCATGCTAGCAAACTCCTTTACACTCAATTGGTGTCAACCCTTCAAAAATTGCCAAAGACACGTTTCAAACAACTCGTTGTTGACAGTGTTTGGATCATACTAATCGGACTAAATAGTTTCTGCATCGGCCCGAGTAGTTCTTGAATCGATTGAGGTGTCCAAAAAAAGTAACTGTGAGTGTGGTGGGAGAAAAGGCAAACAGAGCCGAGCCAACTACTTCCATTTGAGAGCCAAACGGAGGCAGTTGCCAATGTCAAACAATGGTCGTGGTGATTGGTATTGCATTCCAACCAGGCCATCTGACCAGAAGAGGTTTTGCACATCACAGATTTGACAATGGTGTTCTCCGTTGGTCACCACCAGGATGCAGGGCCTGGACCCTGACAACAGAAGACTCTTTGAGAGAGCGCACATCAAAATATGAGAGAACAATGAGAGTAATTGAAACCTGGTTGTCTTGCAAAGTGTGATGAGGAATCATGCGCAATGACAAGGAAAGGTTGTTCATGCTTTGCCCCGCTGTTAATAATACAAAGACTCCTCCACGATTGTTGCCACCAAAACATTGGCTGCCCATGATGCAGCCCAATCCGGAACGAAGATGCCAACAGGATAGGAGTCCCCATGTTCATTTTCCTGAGACAAACATATCTTTGCAGGAAAACCCGCGAGAGAATCGAGTTTGCTTTTCCAAAGTAATAAACATGTTTGCCCGGGAATGGAATGTGTTTAATTCGTGCAATAGTTTGCTACACGGAAATGGAGAGCTGCTCATCATTGCAGCTGCCACAGGGGCCTGCTGAGCAATTCTGGGATGTTTTGTTTGAAAGTTGCCTTGGTTGTTAGTTACAATGTTTGAGATATTTTGAGATCATTGGGAAGCTGGCAATGTCCAACTGAGGAGACCTTAAAGCAGTATGGCCGAATTGGAAGCTAAGGGTATGGCCAGGTTCTTCCGCTCAGAGGGCGGGACACCACCATCAAGGCACGTGCCACACACTAAAGGCACCAACAAGCCTCGGCATCAAGCACAGCCGTTTGTATGTTTCGTGTTCAGAATCTCGACTCAACAACCAACTCAGACATGTGAAATATTGTGCCCGCAATGCTGACCAACACAACAAATATCAATCTCAACTTGGGTACCTTTGCCTGACCTTGTTGTTTAGTACATATTCCTACCAATTTACAAAGTCATGACGGAATCGTCAAAACACGGTTAAAAGCTAAGATTCTGATCACAAAGCTTCGCATCGTCATCGCCAGTCTTCGCAGGGCAAATACTATTACAAGGCTGCTTTCTGCATTCAAGCACAAATGCTGCAAATGGGATTTGCAAGTGCATATGTTTGGCACACTTGCAGTTAGAATGGCCAAAATGTGAAAAGCACCCAAAGACCCACAATCAACGACCGAAAAAAAGAATATAGTTGTCAACAACAAGAACGGGCGTGTTCACACCATCTTAGAATGCCCACCAAATTACACCACAATATATCACAATAAAATTAATTCTATCTTCCAGCCCGGTGGTATAGTATAGTATTGGTGCATGTCATCGAACGAACAAATAACACATAGAATGCCTGCCTATTGACACCAAGATTCAACACCGTGCTGATCACACCATGCACGTTTGAGATTTTCGAATTTTTTGCCCGAATGTTGAGTCGCTTGATCGCACAGCAAAATGCACCGGTCAACTAACTTAAGGCCAAGCTTCTTGCGCCTTTGTCTCAACTCGCCAGCAAAGAAGTCCAAAAAATGAAGCATAGTATCTGCCGTCCATATGTGAGATTTGTTCTGCAGCGGAGCGATGTACAAGGCATGGGATAGTTCCTCTGGGAAAAACAAAAACTGGAAACCAAGATAGGAACAAAATATGAATTGTTTTCTAAATTACTCACCTGTCCTTTCCCTCTCCTCTCCTTTCCTTTCCTCTCCTGACTTAGAGATAGAATGCCTCCACCCCTCAACCCATTTTTTGGCACAAGGAGGCCTCGTTGGCCTTGGTTCTTTGAGATTCTGATAGGCAGTCGCTGCGAGCTGTTACAAAGCCTCTGGATACACAACCATCTGCCCACGAAACTGTGGTCAGTGTATGTGGAAGCCTGTAGCCTTCGATTGGAGCGGCGCCAGCATGTTTGCCCTGGACACTTGGGGTGATTGCTTCCAGGTCCTCATCAGCCTTGGTCAAAGATTCGGTAAATGGCTTGCTGAGGCATGCCAGCGGGTCTATTGGTGCATCACGTGGTTGCAAAGTTCTCTTCATTGGCCGATGCATCAACGACCTTTTTTTTCCACGAGTACGGACGCCGTGTGGGCGGAGTGCCCAGGTCATCAATGAAGGGAAAGGAAACACAACGGAGGGGGAAAAGAACACAAGCAACCCCAAACCAAACAAACACCAACCAAACAAGAACCCCAAACACAAAAGCCAGAGGCCGAATCCCCCTCATCTAAAAGTGTTTCCTCTGTACGAAGGCGAGACAGGTGAGAAAAGTTGGTAGTAAACTATCTATGGGCCTGAATTCACTACGAACTGGGGAGGCCCACTTTGGCGACCCTGGAATCCACTGCATTTTT